ATAAGCAGTTGGCCAAGACTTGCTAATTCTTTGTTTTGCTTCCTTTCCTATGTTCTGCAGACATCTGCTTAGCATGACACCAAAGTTATTGGTATAGTGGAGCCATTGTTCAGTCTCAGAGGCACGGAATCCCTTAGTATCATCTGCAAATATCATTACGTGTATGTTTGTTCATTTTTTTTTTCTGAAGAGAGTTTGTAGCCTTTAGTGGATTTTTAGAATGGCCCATAAAATTTATCATCTATATATATAATAAAAATATATGATCCACCTTGTATGTAGTTTTACTTTCTATGATTTTCTTACCTAGGTAACCATGATCTGAAATATTACATAGAAAATTCCTGAAGTAAACAAAAAGCCTAAAATTAGATGCCGCTTTGAGAAACATGATGAACTTTCATGCTTGAGGAGTGAATGGTTCCTTCTGCCTGCCCATTAGGAATTCAGTTATCTCATCATCAGACCTACGTGCTTATGTTCAAGTAATCCTGGCTTTTCTTAGTAATAACCCCAAACCGTTAAGAGCAATGATTGGTGGCCGAAGAGAAGCTATAAAATATTTATTTTACATGGAAATGTAAAACATTCTTTACTTACTAAGGAATTAAAAGCATCATATACATTTCTAAGATCTACAGTAAAGATGAATAGGGCAACCCCTCCATGTTATAGATAGGATCATTCAGTAGATTCTGTGGTTTCGAGCATCCACTGGTGGTCTTGGAATGAATTCTTTTTTGATAAAGGGAGATTAGTGCATGTACAGTAGAACACTACAGTCAGTATTTACCACAGTGAATCTTCCTGGAACATGATATGATGCCTTAGATGAAAACGCTAAGGAATATAACAGAAAGGAACAGCAACCTGATTTATTACTGGAATGTGGAATTTGCTCTGTGTGTGTGTGTGTGTGTGTGTGTGTGCATGCACGTTTGTACAGGTGTATGTAGAGGTGAGAGGTTAACCTCAGGTATCACTCCTCATGCACTATCCACCTTGTTTTTTGAGACAGCATCTCTCACATGGTATGGAACCCACCAATTTGACGGTCTTAGTTGACGGCAGTCCTTAGTCATCCTCCTGCCTGTCTTTCCAGCACTGGGATTTAAAATGCACACTACCACACTTGGCTTTTCATATATGAGTTTTGGGCTTCAAAATCAGGTCTATGTGCTTCTGTGGCAAGCATACTGACTGAGCCATCTCCCTACCCACCACAGTCATTTCTTATATTGCATCCCCACCAAACAACTTCTTATGTGAAAACTTCCAGCAGCCAGGGAAGGACCACTAATTACCACAGCCCCAGTCATGATATATGGTTTTATGTGTTTTCGGTTGTTTTTTTTTTTTTTTTTTGAGTTCTACTTTACTCATGATGTATATACACTACAAAGGACATGGGCAAGAATGACAGCCAAAGAAAAGACTGAAAGCCCAAGGAAGGCGTAGTGTGGGAAATGTCTACTTGGAAAGGCTGGAGACACGGCAGGTGGGGGTCGCGGGATTGGAGCAAAGCAAGCCTGAGATTCTTGGCATCTACAGAACAAAAGGGGAACCCTAGCTCTTCCTATCTGACACAAGGACACACACTGTGTTCCCAAAGGAGGAAGAGAGGCTCCTGTGTTCTAGGGTGATTTATGGCTTTTTTTTTTTTTAACTGTGAACCTTTAAGAGGCACAGTGCACAGTGGCTGTTTGCCAGATGTCTTGCTGGAATCATAAAGACATTTCTTGAAACAACCCTCAATAGAAACTGGACTCTAGCTTTTAAAAATGGATAAACAGTACTTAATTGCTTCAGTAAGTCAGTTTCCAGTTGCATGACCCAGATGAAGGGGTGGAGCCCATTTCTGGAAGTAGTTTCAAAGATATGAATTCCATTTTTCTCTACTCTCTAGAAGACAGTTGGTGCCAATGAAAGCTTTCTTGCTCTGTTCTCCTAACAGGAAGACATTCAAAGGAACGCATCTTTTTGCTTGGCCACCCTAAGCCCCTTCCTTTGCAGTGACTCTTTGCAGACCACTGTGAGACAGAAACTGGGGGAGAAGGATCCAGACATGCCATGGTTTAACTCTAACTCTTGACACAATGAGAAAAGCAGGGCCCCATGGAACCCTAAAGACCTGCTCAGACCCCATTTTGAGGTTTGAGTCGAAAGAAGTAAAAGGTTTAGAGTGTTATCCCCCTTCAGATCTCCACATCTTTTTCTTGGCTCTTGCCTTTGGTGTAGACAGTTGTTTTGTTGCTTTTTTTTTTTTTAAGCAGGTTTTCATACGTGATTAGAAATAGATGCATTCATACATTGTAGAAATCATTTCAAATTGTTTAGTTTTAAAAAAGAGACTTTTATATGTCTCTCAGTGTGTCTGTGTATATTTGCATGTACATGCTGGTGTCCACAGAGGCCAGAAGAGGGCATTGGATCCCTTGGAGATGGAGTTGCAGGTGGATGTGAGCCATAGGACATGAGTGCTAGGAACTGGACTCTTAAGCACTGAGCCATCTCTCCAGTCCAACTGTTTAGGTTTTAAACTCCATAATCAGGATGCTATGCTAATAGTATTCAATGAAAACGTCAATTCTTAAGGAAACTTTTTGGAACATATCTATGTACATTATAATCAGAGGCTTATTGGGTGGTCCTGGAATAGAAGTTAGGGAGTTACAGGAGCTGCTGGTAATATCATCAATTCAGTTAATTTTATTTTCTGATAGTTGCCTATCAGCAAATTTAAATCTGAGTCTTTTAGTGCTATTTTCAGATGTCGAGTGTCCACAAGAGTCCACATGGTAGCTCTTGCTCCCCAGGACACTGTTGGGAGGAGGTGGGGACTAGTAGTAGTATGCATTGAAGGCATACTCTAGAGGGGAATTAATTATAGGATCCCAACCTCTTTCTCTTCCTCTTCTTAAATTTATTAGATTTTTTTTGTTGTAGTTGATGCTAAAATATATCCAGTTTATAAACATGGAGACTCTATGGGAATGATTTAGGCTTAAGTTGTGGATAAATTCAGAGTTTATTATTTATTTATTTAATTTATTTATTTGTGTGTGTGTGTGTGTATGTGTGTGTGTGTGTATGTGTGTGTGTGTGTGTGTGTGTGTGTGTGTGTGTGTGTGTGCATGAGTGTTTACCTGCATGTATGTTTGGGCACCTTGTGCATGCTTGGCCCCTGAGAAGGCCAGAAGAGAGTGTTAGACTCTCTAGAACTAGAGTTGTAGATAGGTATAAGCCACCATTGGGTAGTTGGAACTAAACCCAGGTCCTGTACAAGAGCAGCAAGTGCTCATAACCGCTGAGCCCTCCTTACACCTCCAACAAACTCAGAGTTTAAAGCACTGATATCTTGGCTGGATTCTGCTTTCCTCTGCATGGTAGCTTCTTTATCTGACCCCATGTGGAGATGAGCTCTGCTGTAGCTTCTGTCCTGCACTTCTCGACTGTAAATCCAGCAGCAGCAAAAGAAAAAACTTTGACATAGCCCCTTCAACCAAATTCTGGCATTAGTTTTGGTGTGATATGAATTGGCTTGATTAAACAAAGGGGTCCATATCTGATGGGGGATAGAATTAATTGATAGGTTGGAACCTAGAAAAGGAGCCTTGAGACTAAAGGTAGGAAATAGGGCTCCTGATAGACAAAGGGAGTGTGGATGCTGGGTGGGAAAACACCAAGCCAGAAGAAGGTAACAGATGGAGGGGATGTAGGCAAGGGGTACAGATGTGACTGATTTTACAAGAACATGCTCTCGTGTTTGAGATGGTGACAAAGATGACATACACAGGCAATTAGACATGTAGGTGGGGCAAGTTGAGGAAACACATGTTAAATAGTTTTATTTTCAACTAAAAGCCACAGGAAGAAATATGTAGTGTTTAAAAAATGTCTTAAATCTATTGCACCAAATATATTACAGCAAATACTTACCAACAAATAGAAACAAAAAATATAGTTGTACAGCCAGTAGATCAAATAAATGCTTTCATTTCCCCCAATTTAGACATGATCTATAAAACCTAAGCATAACTTTTAAATGTCACAAAATTTTTCATAACATTTTAGTTGCAAACTATTCCATAGAATAGATGACTCATAACTCACTTAGACATTCTGCTGAAAAAGGCATTGTAATTGCTTCTATTGTCAACATTAGAAATCATGTTACAATTACATATTCAGTTACTGTTTTTTTCCCTTGAGGTGTTTCTACAGCATATGTTCCCAGGGACAAGATATTGGTATGAAAGACAATGTATATTTTGTGCCTCCTGAGTTTGCTACAAAATAATAGTTCATGAAGCATGTGTGAGTGACTATCAATGCCTCCAGTCATATCTGAAAATACTAGCTTTATCATGTGCTGATACTTTAGCCATTTTATCCCATTCATATCTACAAGAGGACAACTAATTAAACCACTAATGTCAGGAGGGATCTTACACTTCAATCATGATAACATATTTCATGTTTACAATAAATGAGGGAAATTTTATAGTGATCTCTATTTTATAAATAGGGAAACAAGGACATGAAAGGACTAAGTAAGCCACCAAGGGCTCCATAGCTAAGAATGGGAGAACTGGTGTTTGGACCATGGGGATTGACCCCAGGCCAGGCATACTCAGTCATGAGGCTGTATTGCTTTATGATAAGTTTTGGTAGATGTTTCCTCACATCCTGTTAATGACTATATACTCTAGTGTGAGAATTTCATCATGCCCTTCTCTGGCAGGTTCTTGATAATTCTGTCCCAGAGTAGAGGGAATAGTGGGATTTTTTATGATTTGAATGCCTCACATGGGGAGCGATTTACTATAAGTCATGTATTTTCTTTATCTTTCACTATTGTGTATTGTGTTTGAAATGAAGACTTATATTTAAAAAAAAAAACAAGTATTTTCATCTAATCAAGGAACACCAGGGTTTTTATTTTAGCTCTGATGGTTGTATCATCTAATCCATCCCTGCTGGTTTCCATGGAAACATACCTTTTGGGTGTGCTTGAACATCTGAAATGTGGGTACTGCTTTGATATGACAGAGTTGAGTCAATTCCTGGGAAAGAAAAGACATGTCACTAAGTCACAGTTTTGATGACTTTCTCTGTACCAAGTGTGCTACTTGGTGACTTCTAAGAAGCAGTGTCTTAAATCCCAAGGGCCCCTGACACTTCATGGGATTTTCCTAACATACTCTCAAAGCCTCCAGGACAACCCTGTGTAAAGAGGACCATTCTGGTACTCTTGGGTTTCTTATCCCAGAGCTCTAGGCGAGGGATGAGATGGAGGTCAAATGGAACGGATGAGGAGTGACTAAATGAGGGTGTTTAACAACGCTGAGTGATGGCAGAGGAGCCCCAGGAAGCCTCTATGGAAATACCATATTGCGAAAAGAGGAAGGACCAGGCATGTCTTCATCAGTCGCACTGAAGACAGGCGAGACACACTCAAGGCTAGCAGTTTTCCCTTTAAGCCCTGGTATCCTTTCTCCCTCACTACTCATCTTTACTTCTGAATCATTTGGAGCCCAAGGACAGGAGAAAGGGCCAGAATGCCATAATTTTAATCCAGACCAACTGGCTTCCAAATGGCATTTTTTATTCCCCTTGTTTAGAAGGTGAATACAGTTAGCTGACAATGGAATTGAACTCTCTCGTTGATATACCATTTGATTGACTTCAACTCTTTTCCACCCACAATGCACACAAACACAAAGGAGGATTGCACACACACTAAGTTGTATTTTTAGTTACAATTGCCACAGCAACAGCTAATCCAAAAGCTATTATTAGAAAAGTGTGTCTTTTGCTTCGCCTTAAAAGACAGAAAGCTATAATCGGACAGCTGAGAGTAACGGGTGTTGGCAAGAATGTGGGGATCAGAACTCTCTGCTGTAGCAGTGAGTAAAATTTATACAAATACTATCAAAGAGCTCAAATCTTCCCAAGTATGCCAAGTCTGTGTCATTGACAACATTCTGACTAATTATGACACAGAAGATAATGAACTTTTGGTTTTCTGATGGTTTTAAAGCTCAGCTTCAATCCGATGCTTGGGTAGGTCCCTTGCTATCTTTTCTGCTTTAGTTTGAATGCGGAATACCTCTCCTGGGTTAGTCTGGTCTCCAGCATGGAGCTATTGGGAGGTAGCAGAACCTTTAAGAGGAGGGGCCTCCCAGGAGGCCTTTAGTCCTTTTGGACCATGCCCTTAAAGGGGACTGTGGGACATTGGCTCCTTCTGTTGCTGATTAGTCAATAAATAAAACACTGATTGGCCATTGGCTAGGCAGGAAGTGTAGGCGGGACAAGGAGGAAAATAAAGCTGGGAAGTGGAAGGCTAAGTCAGAGAGACACTGCCAGCCGCCACGATGAGAAACAGCATGTGAAGATGCCGGTAAGCCACGAGCCATGTGACAAGGTATAGATTAATGGAAATGGATTAATTTAAGCTGTAAGAACAGTTAGCAAGAAGCCTGCCACGGCCATACAGTTTGTAACCAATATAAGTCTCTGTGTTTACTTGGTTGGGTCTGAGCTGCTGTGGGACTGGCAGGTGAGAGAGATTTACCCTGACTGTGGGCCAGGCAGGAAAACTCTAGCTACATCCTTCTTTCTCTCTTTTTCTTCCTGCTGATGGTGGGATCACTTGGTTCTGCCATGCGCTCCTGTCCAAATGTGGTGGTGCATGCCTTTAATCCCAGCACTCGGGAGGTAGAGCCAGGTGAATCTCTGTGAGTTCGAGGCCAGCCTGGTCTACAAAGTGAGTTCCAGGACAGGCTCCAAAGCTACACAGAGAAACCCTGTCTCGAAAAACTTAAAGAAAAAAAAATGTGCTGCCTTCCACAAGTCCAAATGTGCTGCCTTCCACAGGTCCAAAAGCAACTAGGCTTTGGCCAAGGACTCAAATTTCCAAAACGGTGAGACAAAATAAACCTTTCTCTTTCTCTTAGGCATTTTTCTATAGTGTCAGAAAGCTAATTAATACACTTACATTTCCTTATTATAAATTAACAACTCCTAGGAAGAATAATCCCTAGGAGATAAATATTAGTAAGACATATTTGGCTTGAGACTAGGAGGCTGATTATTTTGGGGGGAGGGACAGGAGAAGGGGGAGGATGGATCTAGGGACAGGAGGGAAGGATTTCCTGGAAATTTTTTATGCTGTATAAGCACCCCCCCAAAAAAACTCAAACACCTAGGATACCAAAATGAGACATGTTAAAATGTCTGTAATTATTGAGTTAGGTTTTAGAAAAGTATTAACTTACCACAACCTAAAAATAATTTTTCACCTTGGCTTCATTGTAATGTCTGCCTACCTTAGCAGTTCTCAACCTTCCTAATGCCGAGACCCTTTAATACAGTGCCTCATATTGTGGTGACCCCCCAACCATAGAATTATTTAGTTGCTACTTCATAACTATAATTTTGCTACTGTTATGAACCATAATGTAAGTATCTGGTATGTGATCCCAAAGGGGGCGTGCCCCACAGGTTGAGAACCCCTGGCCTACACTGACAGGCTGGGGAGCAAGTGATGAGACTGTTGGAATTGACTGCTGATGTCTGCTACAGCAGGAGGGAGTACCACGTATTTGCTAACATTTGAAGAAAATTATGTAAAACAGTTTGCTACATTCATCATGAAAACAAAGAGGTGGAGCCCCACTTGTTTTTAACCAGGCAGTGTCATCACTTTCACAGAGTGACTCAGTGACATTGCATTCAGGTTTGGATGGTCCACACAGATGATTTCAGAGTCCTACCTTAGAGGAGTCCACGTCCACATTAGCAAACATGACGTTTTGGTATTTTAAAGACATTGCCTTCAAGACAAAAGAATAAAATAACATAAATATTAACATTTGCACCAAAACCGTCATTTGGAAAAAAAGAGATGTATGACTTGGTTGTTAAAGAGACCCAAGCATCCTTCTGAAGGTTCATTACAGCCTAGAACTTGAAGCCCCTCAAGGTCCAGCAAGGATCCACTGCAGAGTCAAAGAACAGAACTGAAGACTGGAGTTTCTAGATTTGAGGACCAAAAGCAGAGCAACTGAGCTGTGTGCAGGGGGCCAGACCTACCCTGTTGGGGGTGGGGAGGCAAAACAGGATTTTCCTGAAGGTGTCAAGGGATTACCTGTAATGGTTTTCAAAATCTGTCTGGGGCGATGGGGGTGGGCTTAGATCAGCATTAGAAACTGGGCCGTGGTCCTAGCATCTGGGCAGAAGATGCAGTTCTCTGAACCTGATGTGTACTTGGTGCTTTGACCTTCTCATCTTGAAGGAGTTTGGGAGGTGGATTCTGGAGGCAGTAGAAGGGTTCTTGACGACCATCACCAGCCTAGTGTTCTCCCAGCCACCCGCACTCCCTGCAATCTACTGTATACGGAAACTGGACTTTCCAGACTCCCTTGTTCGCTGACTTCCAACTAGCCAATGGGAAGCCATGAAAGATGGTAGGAAGGAGGAAGGGGTTAGCTCCTGCTTCTACTCTGTTCTGGAAATGCTTTCTACAGAAGTGGTGACAGCAGGGTCCTGGCTCTGGGGTGAGGATGAGGGATAGTGGTGTCTCACGTCAGCCCAGATTTACGTTCAGACAGCTGTGTGCACACTCCATAGGCACTTGATATATCGTCTCTTGATTTGCTTAAAAATCATGTCACAAGCATTTGTAGTCACCCCTCTCAAATGGAACTACTCCTGGAAGGTGACATACAAGGTGTCCAAAGCTTGGCCAAGTGGAGTCAATACCAGCTGGAGCTCTCCCCGGGGAGGGAGAAGCTGGAAGCTGCAAGACACGGGAGGGCTTAGGTGGATGTGTGAGAAACCCTGCCACTGGCAATCCTTCCTGCAGTTTTGTGTGTGGATTGTGATTTATGTGGGGGTTCTTTCTCCTGTGGTCCCTCAAAATGGTGATATGGGAAAAAATTCCTGTATAATAAACACAAAGATCTTTGGGGCTTGAGAATATTTCTCAGATTAAAACAATGATTCTGAGCTGGGTGTGGTGGTGCTACTCTAATCCCAGCGCTTGGGAGGCTGAGGTAGGAGACTCACAAGCCTGAGGCCTGCTGGGTAATATATGGAGTTCTAGGCCAGGTCACTTATTCACAGAAAAAAATCCCTCTTTGACAAATGTCCTTCTGCTCTGTTTTATCTGCATATATAATAAATGAAGGCTATAGAATTCCTTTTCATTCTTCTATTGGAAGACATGAACTTTTCTTTTAGCGTTTAAATATTGAAGATATATACTAGGAATGTTCATGAGTAGGTTCATTTTATTTGATCAAGAGCACAACTGTTAGGCCATAGATTAATTGAATGTTAATTTTTAGGTCACAGGTTAATTAATAACTTAACATGCTATATTAAGTTATTTATAGGCCTTTATTTTTCTTCTAACATCCTAATATATATATATATATATATATATATATATATATATATATATATATATATATATATATATATATATATATATGTATGTTATACCTTATAAGTAATTACTAAATTATTTTCAGAGTAACTATATAGTTTTACCTTTTTGTTAGGTTGTTTTTTTTGAGACAGGGTTTCTCTGTGTAGCTTGGAGCTTGTCCTGGAACTCGCTCTGTAGCCCAGGCTGGCCACAAACTCATAGAGATCCACCTGCCTCTGCCTCCTGAGTGCTGGGATTAAAGGCATGCACCATCACCACCCGGCTAGTTTTACCTTTCTACCAACAAAAATGTAATATACAGTTTCTCCACATCCACCACCAGTTAAAAAAAAAAAGACTTGGATTTTAGGGCTGGAGAAATGTTCATCAGTAAAGTGTTTGATGTTCAGTCATGAAGACCTGATTCTGATCCGCAGAACCCATGTGAAAAATAGTTAGGTGTGGTGGTGTTCACTTGTAATCCCAGCTCTGGGGAGCTAGAGACAGATGGATCTCTGGGCTCATTAGCCACCAGCCAGGTTATCCTTTGAGTGAGTTCCAGCCCAGTTGGAGACCTTGCCTCAAAAATCCAAACCAAACCAAAATAACAACAACATAGAGGGTAGATGGTGTTTGAGGAATGATGGTAGCTGAGGTTGTCTTTAGGCCTCCACCTGCACATATGCACACACACACACACACACACACACACACACACACACACACACACACCCTTAGGTGGCATATTATGTGCCTTTTATTGGCTACTGGCAACAGCTTTAACTGTATGTCACCTGAGTGGATTCACACTTTTGTATCTGAGCACTGGCTATTTCTGTGGAATAGTTAGGGAGTCTTCTTTCTTAGTTTTGAGTGACAGAGTGGTCTGTCAAACACTAAAATGTTCCTTCTGGATAGTTCAAAAATTTCAGGCATATAGATGTGTGGTGGGGTGGTCCAATGGGTAAAGCCTTTGCCATGAAAGTGTAAAGCCTGAGATATCTAGAACCCATGTGAAAGCCTTTGGGTATGGTGCATGCCTATATGCTCAGCATGCAGGAGGCAGAGACAGTGGATCCCCAGAGCAATCTGGCCAGCCAGATTAGCTTGACTGATGAGCTCTGAGTTCTGCAAGAAACTTTGCTTCAATAAGTGATATGGAGAGCCATTGAGGAACACATCTTACATCAACTTTGGACCTGCACATGTGAACTTGCATACATGCATGTACACTACACATATACAAATGCCAAAAAAGAAATGTCATGTAGTTCTTTTCTTTATCTGCTACAAGTTCATTCACAACTAAATATTGATGGTTGTGACTGTTGTTAGAATTAGTTTTGGCAGATTCAAGAGGCCAAGTGAGGAAATCCAAGACGTTTAAAAATCTCACTGAAAACAGAGTAGAAGGTTTTTAGTTGTCTCATTGTGGTCGTTTGAATGTAATTGACCCCCATAATCTCGTAGGGAGTGGCACTATTAGGAGATGTGGCTTTCTGGGAGTGAGTATGGCCTTGTTGGAGGGAGTGTGTTACTGTGGGGGCGGGCTTTGAGAATTCCTATGCTTAGGATACCACTGAGTGTCTCAGTTGACTTCCTGCTGTCTTTTGGTCAAGATGTAACCAGTATCATGTCTGTCTGCACACTGCCATGCTCCCTGTCATGATGATAATGGACTGACCCTCTGGAACTGTAAGTGAGCCACCCCAATTAAATGCTTTCTTTATAAGAGTTGCTGTGATCGTGGTGTCTCCTCACAGCAATAGAAACTAAGACAGTCATCATGGAATTAAAACTTCTTCATGTTTGAAGGAAGGAATACATGTCACAAAGGTGACCCAAAATAACCGGGAGACATTTGTACAACTAGGAGAAAGGAAACTAAAATTCCCTGATGTGGGGGCTGGAGAGACTTCTCAGTGGTTAAGAGCACTGGTTGTTCTTCCAGAGGAGCGGGGTTCAGTCCTGGGCAAACCCATGGCAGCTCACAACTGTCTGTGACTCGAGTTCCAGGGGAACTGATGCCCTCTTGTGGCCTTCATGGACACCAGGCATGCAAGTGGTGCACAGACATATAATACGGCTAAATATAAATAGTGTGTCTATCTGTGGTGTCTCTCAATATTTGTAAGTTCTGGGCTCCGACTTGGGTAAGATGTAATGGTATGAATTCCCATTCATTTGTACGCTGTAATTCTTCAGCATATCCTGGTGTTCCTTGGTGAACTGCCCACAGACAAATAATCCCAGTCTTTGGCTATCTCCTAATGAAATTCCAGGATATTAGCTTCTGGTTCACTGGGATGCTTAAAATCAAACAAACAAACAACACAACAGAACTACACCCTAGGAATAGTTCAGAAGTAGAAAAACTTTTAGGAGTAGCTGGGAAAACTTTGGGGGACCAAAATTCCTTTGGCAGCTATGAGATAGATGCTGGAAATACTTACCTGGAAAATAGGGCCAACCTTTTTACAGGGGCCACACCACGCTGCTGAGAACTCCACCACCACAAGCTTGCTCCCAGCAACCCTTAACAACTCTTTCAATTCATCCTGAAACCAGAACACATGGGGAAATGTTCGTGGTCATGGACTCTCACAAAGTCTTGCAAGAAATAAAACGAAAATCTTGCGAAGGGTACAAGAATTGGGGAAGTCTTCAAATCCAGGCACCCTACCTTTCTGTCCTTCAGCTGGTCCAACCTTTTCTTAGTGAGCCTGAGACTAGACATAGCTTTTTTGCGTGAGTACACACGAGTGGTGATATATTGGCAGACAAGTTAGAAGTCTGCTTACCAAATGGCACAGTAGCAGCAGCTACCTTTGGGTGGAAGTGGGTCAGCCCGGAAGAAATGAAAGTATTAAGGTGAGAAGAGAAGTACTGTGCAAGCTGGATCTCTGTATTTAATAATTTTAAAGACAGGTGAAATGTATCAGTGGTGAAATGTCTTGCTTCATGGGAGTGATCACTCTTAAAGTCTTAATCAATACCGTTTATTTAATAATTTGACTTTTTTTTCTAAACTCCCTAAGTTAAATTTCCAATAATTGTTGATATCACTTAAAGTCTTCCATCTTGGGACCTCAGGTCACTGTATTTATATTTGCTTCTGACTGTCCTAAACTAGCTCTTTGGGGCCTGGTTTTTCCTCTTGGAGTCACTCTGGTTCACTCCTATTCTTCCCCAGCCCCTCACTTGCGGATGGTAAGCCCTTGTGGAACGCCCACTGGATGGGAGAAGGCTAGCTACAGGAAGTGAGTGCTCTTCACAGTTGATTTTCTCATTATTCACTGGAATTGAGACTAGCTCATCCACTCTGATGTTCCGAACTGTGGTCTTTATGCCCACCGTGTTCAGTGTATATTCTCATCTTATCCATTTCACAGCCAAGGGCGCAGACATTCCCCAACTTCCCTGTAGCCAGCCAGTGGGTGGTGGTTCTGCGGCTGGGATTGTTCACTTTGGCAGCTTGACTACAGAGCATATTTCTTCAACCAATACTGATTCCTCCAAAATCAAAAGACAAAAAGCACTCTTTTCACTGTGGTGAACATCATCACCTTAAGCACCCCTGGACTAGGTGTTAATCAGGTTAGTTCATAATTGGATTAAGCAGAGCAGAGCTATCCCCATTAGGGGTGGAGTTAATTCCCGAGAGATGGCATGCTTGCCCTTCAGCAAGGAGAACTTGATAATTAAGTTCCCGTTCGGTTTAGTTTCAGGCAGGTGAGACTGATGATTCAAAGAAGGTGCTCCCACTTCCCGGGCCTGTATTTCTGCAGGATGGGTGACTGGGTTCTCAGGCAGCCCAGACAGGCATCTGTTTCCCAGTTTCATCTGTTTCCTGTGGTATTAGCAATTAAACCCAGGACACAGCACAAGCTAGACGAAGTCTGTCTTTAGCCGTCTTGTTACTTTTTATTTTGAGACAGAATTGTACTGTCTTGCCTAGGCTGGACCTTGTATTCGCTGTATAACCTAGGCTGGCTTCTAACTTGCAACTCTCCCGCCACTGTCTCCCGACTAGCTGGAAGTACCAGCCTGCATCACCACCGACCTGGCTTCTCCCATGCTTTTGAGGTTACACAGTGAACTCCAAGTCAGCCAGAGTTACTTGGGCTCTTCTTTTAGTGAGACCCCAAGACAAAAGACATAAAACAAACCAAAGAGTGGAACGATCTCCCTTGACAGAGAGCGATGGCGGGATCCTGGATAGAGGAAATAATTCCAAGTGTTTAACAAGTCTCACTGAATATTGCTTTTGAAGGATCTTGAAACATCTCATGAAGCCAACGAACTACTTACCATGTCATTGATCATCTGCACCATGATTAACATCTGGGACTCCTGATAACCCTCTCCTGTTGGTTCAGGTGGACCACTGTAGCTGTCCCAGTAAGCGTGGCATTCTGGATGGAATGTAAAGGTAGCTTTCCTGTGACGTCACTGAATGGGTCACCTCAGAACCTGGAACTTTGGCAGACTTTGAACCTAGTCTCACCTTTAGGCTGTGACTAGAGGCAACTAGTTGGCAAGCCAAGAACCTGAAAACCAAGGGCTTTGGATTCAGAAGCCAGCCGTCAGTTTCTCTCATCTTGACCTTATCCTTTGGTCATTGATTTCCACACATTTCTTTCTTCTCTGACCTCCCCCACCTAAGCAGAAAACATCAGAAACGCACAGCTGAGTTCATGAAGAAATTATGTGCTGTCTCTCATTGGCCGTGCAGTGGTGTGGTGGAGGAAAAGATGCCCATCCCTGCCCCTTGCCACCTGCAGCACGTAGGAGAGCTGGCCCTGTCCCTTGACTGGGCAGTGCCGTAGAGCTGGCCCTGGTAGTATCAGTGTGGGTGAGCTGGCCCCAAAGGTGTGAGAGTGGGAGAGCTGGCACTGCCCTTTGTTGCCTGTGGCAAGAGTTAAGCTAGCCAGGGAAGTGCTGGAGAGCTTGCCCTGGTGGTGAGGATGCAGGAGAGCTGGTGGGCTGACCAACTCAGCTATCACCCAGGCCCAGATCCATAGCTATGAGTTGGCGCACCCCAACATCTACCCCATCTATGAACTGCTGGAGCCTGTGAAGGGGCCAGTCCTGCAGATCCAAAGCTGCAGGATCTCCATGACACAGGGCAACAACAGGATATCTAAGAGGAGTCCCAGTGAGGATCCAGGATTGATAATGTAGCAGAAGCCAGAGGCCGCTTATAGGACCAATGACTCAACTTAACGAACATTTGCGAGTAAAGATGTATGGAGACTCAGTGTAACACTACAGCTTCCATGATGAAATTTTTGTTTTTGTCTTTTTTTTTAATTTTTATTTTATTTTACTTTTCAGGAGGAGGTTGCAAGGGCAGAAGGCAGATACAAAGGGACAAAGAGATGAGTGGGATTGAGGTGTACGATGTGAAATCCACAAAGAATAAAAAAAAATACGCTGTGTAGAAAAGTACTAACACTTTAATCCTATAATAAGCTTCCTGTAAATTCATTTCATGACTCACAGATTCCAGAACTTTGCTGTTTTGTTCTAAATCACTTAGACTATAAAGAAACTTCACTTTCACACAATCAGAAGTTGGCAAACTTTTTTTAAAAAATATTTTTATTTTATAATTAATTTAATTTTACATATCAGTCCTCCCTCCTCTCACCCCCTAGCCTTCCCCCTCAACCCACCACCCATTCTTACCTCCTCCAAGGCAAGGTCTACCCTGGGGAGTCAGCCAAGCCTGGTAGATTCACTTGAGGCAGGTCCAGTTCCCTCCTCCCTATACCAAGGCTGAGCAAAGTGTCTCAGCATAGGCCCTAGGTTCCAAAAAGCCAGCTCATGAACCAGGACAGGTCCTGGTTCCACTACCTGGGGGCCTCCTAAAAAGCTAATCAACTGTCTCACTTATCCAGATGGCCTGGTTCAGTTCCATGGGGGCTCCTCAGTTATTGGTTCACAGTTCATGTGTTTCCACTAGTTTGGCTATTTGTCCCTGTGATTTTTTCCAATCATGGTCTCAATATCTCTTGCTCATATAATCCCTCCTCTCTCTCTCTCTCTCTCTCTCTCTCTCTCTCTCTCTCTCTCTCTCTCGCCGATTGGACTCCTGGAGCTCCACCTGGGGCTTAGCTGTGGATATCTGCATCTGCTTCCATCAGTCACTGGATGAGAGTTCAAAAAAAACTTTTTTTGTAAGTAGCAAATAATATTTTAGGCTTCACGGGCCACATAACATTTTATTGTAGCACCATCTTTGTGTTTACAGCTTTTAAAAAACTGTAAAAAAAATTAAAATTCTTTGCTAGCAAGCTGTACCAAAAAAAATAAATAAAAAACCAAAAAGCAATCAATTTATAATTTTCCAGAATTGAAACAGAATAAATCTGGCCCTGGCTTCTGTTTCTCAATTTCTCAGAGCAACAAGATCAACAAAAGATGTGAGAAATAGCTGTTTCTCCAATAAAAGAAAAATGAGGAATATCTTTGTTTGGGTTTTCCATAGCCCCAGTCCTGAGTTGATGGTCAAGTGGAGAGGCCGGTGGTTCTGCCTGGAGGGGACGTGTACACATGTGCTAATTTGACCCCAGTCCTGTGTTGATGGTCAAGTTGAGAGACTGGTGGTTCTGCCTGGAGGGGCCGTGTGCACCTGTGCTAATGACCTTGGGCTTCCTTGACTGGGAAGACTGAACTGGGTCAACATGCTACTTTTGGTTGTGGGTGTGCTGCTATTTTCTTCTATAACAAATAGAAGTATTTCTGATGTCTTCGTCCAGTATCCCCACCCCCATTTTTTGCCCCCTGAAATGCTTTACTTATATTGCTCTCTAGACCCTGTTGGCATTAGAATTTGGTGCCTTCCTACTTTTGATTCTTCTGTCATTCCAACCAGGGTCTGGCAAACTGCAGCTTAAATCAAAACAAGAAAACACAAACAAAACCCCCAAATACAAAAACAAACTTCATGATTACAGACTGAAGGTCTTATCTTCATGAATTCCCCCTTCCTTTCTCTCAGTTTTCATTCAAGAAGGGAAGCAGATGTGATGCAGACTGAGCATCCTCTGAGCAAGGCCTTCCAGCCGAAGCCCTATGGATGCTTTGGACCATAGTTTTTGCTATCAAGGCGGATGGGGGGACCTTGTTAGCATAGTAGGATATTCAACAGCATGGGGATGTTGGGTTCTGCCTACTGGTGTCACTAGCATCCCGGAGTGGTGACAACTGTAAATGACTTCTGGGGGTGCAAACTTGTACTGGCATTCAGCAACTACTGCTTCAAACGGAGGGCTGACTTCTAGGCATTGCTCCCATGTGGTTTGCCTTGCAAGTTCCTGGATAGTTTTGTTTCCTCACCATAAGGTGAAGCGATTAATGTGCAGCAGGTTTTGAAGCTTTATGCTGCTAGACCTGATTTAGAATTCAAGCCCCGGCCACTTGTCACAGAGAGAGACAAAACTAAAGAAGATCGTTCAGAATTAACTTTCAGACACAGCTAATTAATGACAAACGTCTGCCTCAGTCTCTGGTTACCAGAGGGTTGTGAGGCTGAGCCATGCTTCTGTCCTCCAGTGCTAAGACATGCAGATTGCCACAGAATTGGCTGCCAAGCAGCTTGCCCAGCCCTAGGGCAAGGAGAGTACAGAGGAAGGCACGCAGAAGCCTGTTTGTTCTCAACTAGGGTTTAAGCAGCATTAAAAGCCAGAAAACAGGTTTATAAAACCCATATCTGAAAAAAAATGTTTGCTACATTAGTTCACAAACAGGGAACATTTCTAGTCTCAGACAAAATGGTCCCAGTTAAGAACTTTTTAGAGTAAGAGATGTCTGGGCATTCCCTTTGGACCTGGCTGGCTGCGTTGTTTCCCTAACATGTGCTCACACGCATTTTCCTAGACTCATTCCCGACATCGTCCTTGGAAACGTGAAAGTCGGAGACAGTCTGGGGAGAGTTTCCTTATGAGCAATCAGAGCCGTGTTTTTGTTCTGCATTACTTTGTTTGCTATTGAAAAAACTGACACAGAGACACAGTCCTGAGAGAAGTCCAGGACTTTAAAGACTTCTAAAGATGGCAAGAAAACCAGAGAGTGAGTGTGAGAAGGAAGTAGAGAGATGAACGGGAGAAGGGAGCTGGTGAGAAGAAGAAGAAAAGAAGACAGAGTTACAATAGAGTTGGTGAAGGAAAGAAAGAAGGAAGGAAGCAAGGAGAGAGGGGGAAGAAAAGAAAGAAAGAAAGAAAGAAAGAAAGAAGGAAAGAAAGAAAGAAAGAAAGAAGGAAAGAAAGAAAGAAAGAAAGAAAGAAAGAAAGAAAGAAGGATAGAAGGGATTGTAGACAGAGAGAAACAAAGATTTACATGTAGGCATTTCAATGTGTGGAGATGAGGAGTGAATTCTCTTTAGTGTCCCAGTCCTTGCTATTCAAGTCCCACAGAGACCTTGATTCAAGGTGAAGCCCTCATTGGCATCAAGTGGGGGCTTGGTAGAAATTAGGACTTCAGACTCTACATCAGACCCACTGATTAAGAAAGGACCTGCATCCCGAGGTTGCATGTTACTTGTGTGCATGTTAATATTTTAAAACTGTGATTACCAAGATCCATTTCTAACTGAGGCTCTCTGTAGACCAGTGAATGAGCTACATCAGCATGGCTTGGGAACAGCACACATTCCCAGACCCCACCCTGGACTTACTCAGAACCTCTGAGGGTGAGGCCCAGCAGCACATGCTTTAACAAGTCCTCTAGGGATTCTGTTGCATGCTCGAATTTGAGCAGTATTGGTGTAGATTTAAACAAAACCTAACAAAACACAACTGGATTGATCTATGTCAGGAAGGTGCATGGCAGCTTCAACACCCCAAAGCTGTGGGGTGACAGTCAATATACTTAACCCCTTAGTGGCTTGGTGCTAATCAGCCAGGATGGGAAGTGCCTGCAGCGTATCTGCTCAGTTCCTGCCAGGCATTCATTAACCCTTTTGATTGTTGGGTTTGGGAGAGAACCAGGATGTTCCCAAGGAGGGATTTGTTCAGCCTCAGTGGGGTGGGACAAAGGGAAAGAGTAGTGAGACCCAAGGCTATTGACCATCATGCAAGATTTTGTGTGTGGGGAGTGTGGGGAAGTGGGGCACGTTACTATAGATCAAAGCCAGGGCCTTGACTATGCTAGACAAGGGCTCTAGCACTGAGCTATTACCCCCTCCCAGTTTTCCGCCATGTGTTTTAATAATTTATAACCTAGTATGGCTGTCTCTGTGTGTATTGGCTGAACAATGTGTGATATTGATAATGAATGTAACAAACAGCTGCTAGATAACAAGTTTTCAATATCAATACTCAAAAAAGCGA